TATGAAATCGTATCACCCCAGCCAAACCGGTATCCCACCCACTCATGTTCCCTTCTAAAAAACACTATGCGGTGACATTTTTTGTGATAACATAACACTTTTCCACGAATCCCTGGCAAAACATGGGACGAAGTGCACACGCGCGCGTCGTCGCGCGCGCATGCCGAAATCCTTCAAAAACCTTCGGTGCCGGAAGGATTTCGCAATCGAGTTTCCAAAACACATACAAAAACACATGGTTTCGCAACACTGATTTGCTAGAGAAGCTTCCGCGCGAGCTCTTGCGACATCTGAAGAAAACCTGGGGTTTTTCAAGATGTTCAAAAAATGCTACCAAACGGGCTTCGCGCGCGCGCATATCGAAATCTGTCGAACGCCCTTGCGCGTGTGCCGTCGCGAGAATCCTCTGCAAAAAACGGGACGAAGTGCAGACGCGCGCGTCGTCGCGGGCGTACGCCGAAAACCTTCAAAACCCATCGGTTTCGGAAGGATTTCAAATCGTGCGTCCAAAAAACCTACAAAAACCCAAGGTTTCGCAACACGGATTTTCAACAAAAGCGTGCGCGCGCGCTCTTGCGTCGTCGTCGTCGTCGTCGTCGTCGCCGTCCCTCCTCCCGCGTCATCGTCGTCGTCGTCGCCTACGTCGTCCTCTGTCTTTCCTCGTGTTCGTCGTCGTCGTCCTCTTTGGCGTCGTGGTCGTTTCCGTCGTCGTTGTCGCCGTGGTCGTCCTTCCTCCTCCTCCCTCGTCGTCGTCGTCGTCCGTCGTCGGCGTCTCGTCGTCGTCCCTCCTATTTCGTCGCCGTCGTCGTCGTCGTCGTCGTCGTCGTCGTCGTCGTCGTCGTCGTCGTCTTCCTTCCTCCCTCGTCGTTGTCGTCGTCGGCGTCGCCGTCCTTCCTCCTTCTTCGTCGTTCGCGTCGTCGCCGTCCTCCCTCCTCCCGCGTCGTCGTCGTCGTTGTCGTCGTCGTCATCCCTCCTCCCTCGTCGTTGTCCTCGTCGTTGTCGTCGTCGTCGGCGTCGCCGTCCTTCCTCCTTCGTCGTCGTTCGCGTCGTCGCCGTCCTCCCTCCTCCCTCGTCGTTGTCGTCGTTGTCGTCGTTGTCGCCGTCGTGGTCCTTCCTCCTCCCTCGTCGTCGCCTTCGTTGGCGTCGTCGTCGTCGTCCTCGTCGTCGTCGCGTCGGCGTCGTTGTCGTCGTCGAAGTCGTCGGAGACGTCGTCGGTGTCGTCCTAGTCGTTGTCGTCGGTGTCGTCGTAGTCGGTCTGAACAGGTTTTGCAAACCAAGTTGCGGGTGGGTGGGTGGGATGTTTGCACGAGCAGTGGAGAGGACAGCTTCAAGACAGTCAAAGTGGATTCTCTTTTCTAAAAGAAGAATAGACTCTACCCCCCCCCGACTTATCAGCCCCCCTTTCGGGTATGTGAATCATGTATGTTTCTGACCACTCGTCCATCCTAAATATGAACTCGTATCATCCCAGCCAGGCCGGGTTCCCCCCCCCTGAGGTTCCCTTGTAAAAAAATCACTATGCGGTGTCATTTCTTGTTCTAACATAGCACTTTTTTTCACGAATCCCTTGCAAAGAATGGGACGCAGTGCGCACGCGCGCGTCGTCGCGCGCTCATGCCAAAATCCTTCAAAAACCTTCGGTGCCGGAAGGATTTCGCAATCGAGTTTCCAACACACATACAAAATCACATGGTTTCGCAACACTGATTTGCTGAAAAGGCTTCCGCGCGAGCTCTTGCGAAATCTTAAGAAAACCATAGGTTTTCAATATTTTCAAAAAATGCTACCAAACGGGCTTCGCGCGCGCATGTCGAAATCTGTCGAACGCCCTTGCGCGTGTGCCGTCGCGAGAATCCTCTGCAAAAAACGGGACGAAGTGCAGACGCGCGCGTCGTCGCGGGCGTATGCCGAAAACCTTCAAAACCCATCGGTTTCGGAAAGATTTCAACATCGTGCGCCCAGAAAACCTACAAAAACCGAAGGCTTCGCAACACGCATGTTCAACAAAAGCGTGCGCGCGCGCTCTTGCGTCGTCGTCGTCGTCGTCGTCGTCGTCGTCGTCGCCGTCCTCCCTCCTCCCGCGTCGCCGTCGTCGTCGTCGTCGCCTACGTCGTCCTCTGTCTTTCCTCGTGTTCGTCGTCGTCGTCCTCTTTGGCGTCGTGGTCGTTTCCGTCGTCGTTGTCGCCGTGGTCGTCCTTCCTCCTCCTCCCACGTCGTCGTCGTTGTCCGCCGTCGGCGTCTCGTCGTCGTCCCTCCTATTTCGTCGCCGTCGTCGTCGGCGTCGTCTTCGTTGTCGTCGTCGTCTTCCCTCCTCCCTCGTCGTTGTCGTCGTCGGCGTCGCCGTCCTTCCTCCTTCGTCGTCGTTCGCGTCGCCGCCGTCCCTCCTCCTCCCTCGTCGTTGTCGTCGTTCTCGTCGTTGTCGTCGTTGTCGCCGTCGTCGTCCTTCCTCCTCCCTCGTCGTCGCCTTCGTTGGCATCGTCGTCGTCGTCTTCGTCGACGTCGGCGTCGGTGTCGTCGTCGAAGTCGTCGGAGACGTCGTCGGTGTCGTCGTCGTCGTTGTCGTCGGTGTCGTTGTAGTCGGAATTGAGAGGTTTTGCAAACCAAGTTGCGGGTGGGTGGGTGGGATGTTTGCGCGAGCAGTGGAGAGGACAGCTTCAAGACGGTCAAAAATTAATTCTCCTTTCTAAAAGAAGAAGAAGCTCTATCCCCCCCGGACTTATCGCTTCCCCCTGGGATAGTATAATTTCATTTATATTCTGCACACTCGTCCATCCCAAATATGAAATCATATCATCACAGCCAGGCCGGGTTCCCCCCCCTTAGGTTCCCTTGTAAAAAAACAATATGCGGAGACATTTGTGGTTCTAACATTACACTTTCTCACGAATCCCTTGCAAAACATGGGACGAAGTGCGCACGCGCGCGTCGTCGCGCGCGCATGCCATCCTTCGAAAACCTTCGGTGCCGGAAGGTTTTCGTTCCAAAAAGATTACAAAAACACATGGTTTCGCAACACTGATTTGCGAGAAAAGCTTCCGCGCGAGCTCTTGCGACATCTGAAGAAAACCTTGGGTTTTTCAAGATTTTCAAAAAATGCTACCAAACGGGCTTCGCGCGCGCGCATGTCGAAATCTGTCGAACGCCCTTGCGCGTGTGCCGTCGCGAGAATCCTCTGCAAAAAACTGGGCGAAGTGCAGACGCGCGCGTCGTCGCGGGCGTACGCCGAAAACCTTCAAAACCCATCGGTTTCGGAAGGATTTCAACATCGTGCGTCCAAAAAATGCACAAAAACCCAAGGATTCGCAACACGCATGTTCAACAAAAGCGTGCGCGCGCGCGCGCTCTTGCGTCGTCGTCGTCGTCGCCGTCCTCCCTCCTCCCGCGTCGTCGTCGTCGTCGTCGCCTACGTCGTCCTCTGTCTTTTCTCGTGTTCGTCGTCGTCGTCCTCTTTGGCGTCGTGGTCGTTTCCGTCGTCGTTGTCGCCATGGTCGTCCTTCCTCCTCCTCCCACGTCGTCGTCGTCGTCCGTCGTCGGTGTCTCGTCGTCGTCCCTCCTATTTCGTCGCCATCGTCGTCGTCGTTGTCGTCGTCGCCGTCTTCCCTCCTCCCTCGTCGTTGTCGTCGTCGGCGTCGCCGTCCTTCCTCCTTCGTCGTCGTTCGCGTCGCCGCCGTCCTCCCTCCTCCCTCGTCTTTGTCGTCGTTGTCGTCGTTGTCGCCGTCGTCGTCCTTCCTCCTCCATCGTCGTCGCGTTCGTTGGCGTCGTCGTCGTCGGCTTCGTCGTCGTCGGCGTCGGCGTCGTTGTCGTCGTCGAAGTCGTCGGAGACGTCGTCGGTGTCGTCGTCGTCGTTGTCGTCGGTGTCGTTGTAGTCGGTCTTAAGAGGTTTTGCAAACCAAGTTGCGGGTGGGTGTGTGGGATGTTTGCGCGAGCAGTGGAGATGACGAGCTCAAGTTCAGCAGAGTGGCCTGCACACCATAAATTGCACCACATGTATTACAAATCGTATATCGCTGGAAGCATATTGTGTGGGGTCCACGCTGGCTAACAGACGTACGTATGTGTGTAATTATGTATGTGCGTACCGTATACCCACACACATAAGCATATGTACAAATGCATGCGTACGTACGCGTGCGCATGCGTGCTCATGTACACATGCACGTGCATGTCTAGCACCGAAAAAAAGAAGGATGGAAGGAGGAAGGGCGATTACAAAAGAGAGATACCACGCGAGAGGGAAAGAGAGAGAGAGAGAGAGTGCGTGTGAGATAAAGGAAGAGAGAGAGAGGGAGAGAAGGAGAGAGAGAGAGAGAGAGAAAGAGAGAGAGAGAGAGAAAGAGAGAGAGAGAGACACAGAGAGAGAGAGAGAGAGATAGAGAGAGACCAAGGGAGATAGAGAGAGAGAGGGATAGAGCGAGAAAGGGAGACACATAGAGAGAGAGAGAGAGAGAGAGAGAGAAAAAAGAGAGAGAGAGAGAGAGAGAGAAAAGAGAGAGAGAGAGAGGAGGGAGAGACGGATGAGGATGACGAGAGGGATGATGGGGATGATGACGCGGGTACATATTAAGCGGGCGAGAGAATACCGAGGGGAAAGTGACGATGATGAGTCGGAGGCGGCACAGCACGAGGAAGATGATACTATATGAACAGGAAGATGACGGGGATGATGATCGGAGTGTAGGATGAGAAGGACGAGGGTGATGATTTATGGTGATAGCCAATGCCCCTGGAGGACGAGGTTGGTGGTGATTGTGATGGTGCTGGTGATGGTGATGATGGTGATGATGATGACGACGATGATGCGCAATAGCAGTAGCAGTAGCGGTAGCAGCAGCAGCAGCAGCAGTAACATTATGATGAGGATGACCAGAAGGAAGAGGGGGAGGAGGATGAGGAGGGTGACTGCCTTCGAAAGATGACAGCCCAAGCAACCCCGCACATTTTTGGTGCCCTGACAAGCCGAACTCAGCATGCACGCAGCGGACTCCGGCGGCGCACACCAGCTACTCGGCTGCACGAGCACGGAGACCCTTGGCGGCGCCTCCCGCAGCGAGCTCCCTGGACATCCGGCTGTTCAATTTTTTTCGATACGTGGACCCCGGAGGTCCGGACCACTTCTCCCGGGACCGGCCTCCCGTCCTGAGCCGCTTCTCGACGCTCCCGAGGCCCGGCGAGGCCCCCCGCAGGCCGACAGCTGTCAAAACCCGCCTGCCCCAGTTCTTGTGGGAGCGTCGGATCTCAGGGGAGCCCTCGTGCCCGGCTGTAGCCGCTGCCTCCCCAGACCCCCGACGTCGTGATTTTTTTGACAACGTCGACCCCCAGAGGTCTGGACCCCTTCCCCAGGACCAGTTCTTCGTCCTGAGTCGTTTTTTGACGTTCCCGAGGCCCGGTGAGGGCCCCCGGAGGCCGAACATAGCGACAAACCTCCCGTCGTGATTCTTACACGACGCCAGGAGATCTGGGTCAGGGGAGCCCTCGTGCCCGGCCCTAGCCGCTGCCTCTCCTCCCCCCCCTCCCTGCCGCGGGGCGGTAGGCGGCGATCCCCGGCTGCAGCGCCCTGCGGTAGAGGCGCGCCGCCTCGACGCGCCTGCCGGCGTGGAACAGGGCGTCCACGGAGGCACGGTACGGGCACAGGTCCTGGGGGGCAGCGACAGGGGGGGGACTGGCACAGGGGGGGCAGCTCCTCCTCCTCCTCCTCCTCCTCCTCCTCCTCCTCCTCCTCCTCCTCCTGGTTGCCCCCTGAGGGGCAGCGCTAAAGGGGGGGGGGCTTGCGTAGGGGGGGATGCATCGACCTGAAATCGGCGATGCATCGCCGATAGATCGGCGATAGGCCTCTGGCCGTGAATCCGCATCTGACTGGGCAGGTTGGGGCTATCGGGCCCCTATCGGCAATCAATGGGCGATTGGGGGTCGATGCGTCCCCCCCTATGCCTATCCCCCCCCTATCGTTGCCCCTGAGGTCCGGCTGCAGCCGCACCTCTTGCATATCGCCGAGCAGCGACACCGCCGACTCCCACTGCTGACCCGCCGTCAGCGCGGTCACGGACGCGTTGAACGTGATGATGTTGGGAGCGACCCTCACTGGCATGACAGATGATGGGCCTGTTTTCCACCAGCACCACCACCATAAGTTGGATGGGGGAAGAAGGAGGAGGAGGCGGAGGAGGAGGAGGAGGAGGTGGAGGTGGAGGAGGAGGATCGTAGTGTAGCGCTGATGCCCTTGAGGGTAGGCATGACCCTGTCAGTCGGATGGGACACATGGGCTCTCCCATCCTGGAGCGGTGCTCGTGAGGGTTGGGGTGGCAACCCTTGTGGTCCCAGAGCCTGTGCGGGGACCGTTGAAGGCACCGAGTAATGGTGGACGGTACGTGTGGTCGACACGCCCGAGACAGCCACCTCTGTTCAACGCGTGCGGTTAGGCGGTGGGGGCTTCTCGACAAGTGACGTCGCCGCCTATCATGCAAGTGATGAAGCGCGAAGCGTGTCACATCGCCTGGTCGGAGGATGAGCTGGCATCCCCCAGAATTGCGTCAGACGCTGACTCCCTAGCCTTGTAGGGAGTTCCTGTGGAAGCTCACCGGGTGCTACAAGGTCAGGGAGGCTTGCTACCCCTAGCCAGTGCACTGGTGAGCTGTCCAACTAAGCATTGTAATGAGGATGCCTGGAGGTGGGGGGGGGCACGATTTGTCCGCCCCACCGGGCGCAACAAACTAGAATCAGAGCGCGCGGCAGCGGGCGAGAGACAGAGACCGAGTCGCTTTTTGCTGCCACGAGGTCGAAGCAGCCGCAGGACACCGGTGAGCTGCCCAGCTAATGGGTGTTCTGCAGGTGCCCCAGAGGGGGCACGAATTGACCGCCCCGCGGGGCGCAGCCGCCGTGCACCGGTGAGCTGTCCAGCTAACCGGTGTCCTACGCGTGCCCTGGGGAAGCACGATTTGCTCGCCCCACGGGGCGCTGCCGCAGTGCACCGGTGAGCTGATCAGCTATCCGGTGTTCTGAAGGTGCCTGCGTGGGGGGCACGATTTGTCCGCCCCACCGGCCGCAACAATCTAGGGCCATAACGTGCGGCAGCGGGTGATTGCGGATATGCCGGCACGCCCCAACCTTGTGATCGCGGCTGGGCCGTCACGCCCAGTCGAAGCAGAGTGAGGTATGAGATGGGTGCCTCGGCGGATTCAACGTTCTTCCGCCTCTAGGAGCAAGAGTAGGTTAGCTCCCGCTCAAGGGGGGGAAATTCGTTACGTTTCCCACCCCCCTCGAACGTGGAATGCCCGAAGCGCACGCGTGCTCAAACGGACACTCCTCTGGGCTGCTGTGTCAGGGCGGCCTACTTTAGTGGGAGCGGTGGTGGAAAGGGGGGGCTGGACCCAACTAGGGCCCAGCGGCGGGCCCCGGAACGGGTCCAGCCATCGTGGCCATGCAGATGGACCGGTACATCGAAATATCGACGGACCCGGAAGATATGAAATACAGTACCGCAGGAGAGTACGGCCTGACGAGGCCTAGGAGGACCCGCCGGGGGTTTTGGCCTGACGCGGCGTCGAAAATAACTAGCCGCCGGGGATTTTGGCCTGACGTGCCCTGGCACAGGCATGGTATACCCAAGCCCAGCACCGCCGTGCCTAGGGGCTCAAAGCATGCGGACTGCGACGAGGAGGAGGAGGAGGTGTACGGATCCTCCTCGTCAAGTGCCGTTTTGGCTCGCTAGTCATTCGAAGTACATGCGTTGACTCGCATGTGCTGCACGTTGTGTGCGTCTGCTTGTACGGCGGGCGCGCGCGCCAATGCTGTTGTGCCTCCGACGGAGGCGTGATCAATGTGTTACCTAACAGCGAAGACTGATAGGTTTCTAATGGAGTCAAAAGAAACATCTGATGACTCCCCAGAGGGGGTCTGGGCGGGAGCCGGACAGGCGAGAACCGGGCTCGTTTTAAGCAAACAGTCGCACACTTCGTGCTCTTCGACCTCCCAGAACTCCATTCCCGGGCCACATTTTGAATGCCCGGAGCCAACTGTAAGCCACTTCGTGCTCTTCGACTTCCCAGAACTCCATTCCCGGGCCACATTTTGGATGCCCGGAGCCAACTGTAGGCCACTTCGTGCTCTTGGACTTCCCAGAACTCCATTCCCGGGCCACATTTTGGATGCCCGGAGCCAACTGTAGGCCACTTCGTGCTCTTGGACTTCCCAGAACTCCATTCCCGGGCCACATTTTGAATGCCCGGAGCCAACTGTAGGCCACTTCGTGTTCTTCCACTTCCCAGAACTTCACTCCCGGGCCACATTTTGAATGCCCGGAGCCAACTGTACGCCACTTCGTGTTCTTCCACTTCCCAGACTTCCAAGACTCATCATCTTCATCATCATCATCATCATCATCGTCCCCGTAGCCTTCTTGGCTACAGCCCTGCTTTCGAAGAGTTCCTTTCAAAGGAACTGCGCAGCGCCTACTGCACACCTTAATGCCAGGACATGCTGATAGTTCTCGGTCTGGCGGCGGTGCTCCTGACCCTGCTGCATTGAACAGCGGTGCTCCTCAGCCTGCGGCAGGGAACAGCGCTGCTCCTCAGCGTGCTGCATTGAGCGGTACTCTGCAAACGCTCGTCGAGGCACTGCTCCCATCACTCCTACTCGTTCACTCCACACACTACAACTACTACTTCATTGTTACCACTACTACCATCACTACTACTTCTACTGCTACTACTACTGTTACTATTACTGCTGCTGCTGCTGCTGCTAGTGTAGATATTGCTACTGCAACTACTGGCAGTGCCACTGCGACTGCCGCTGATGTTGCCACTGCGACTGCCACTGCGAATCCGAATGCGACTGCGAGAACACCAGAATTCTACAACAGCACTCTTACATGAATACCACAGGCAATGTTTCCAGCTATGCTTCTACACATCGCTGTTAGGTTGCTTTGCCGGGATAATTTTGTTGTTGGCGGCCGTGTTTCTGAATGTCGGGTTGGACGGCGTCTTTGCTTGATTCACACGTGTTGGGGGCTTACAATGGAATGTGGAATTGCCCCTGTGGCAAACTGCTTTTCTGAACACCCCCCACAGGGTGGAACTTACTCATGTGGACCATGATCTGTGGATGCACGAAAGCTGACCCGGACGCTGGCCAGCGTCTACCAGGAGGCTAACCATGGTAGCTGGACATAATGATATTATGCAGGACTGCGGGCCTTGCCGCTGGGCTATGTCCTCCAGGCGAGTGCCTCACGACGTGCGTGCATAATCTGTAAATGCACGAAAGCTGGCCCGGACGCTGGCCAGCGTCTAACAGGAGACAAGCCATGGTAGTCGGACAGAAGGAGATTGTGCAGGACTGCCGGCCTTGCCGCCAGACTGTGTCCTTGAGGCAATTGCCTTGCGCCATGCTTGCATAATCTGTGGATGCACGCAAGCTGAAACTGAAGCTGGTCAGCCTCTGATACGAGATAACCATGGTAGCAAAGTGCGATTGTGCAGGACTGCCGGCCTTGTCGCCGGGCTGTGTCCTTGAGGCGAATGCCTCGCGACGTGCGTTCAAAATCTGTGGACGCACGAGGGCTGGCCCTGACGCTGGCCATCGACGGATAGAAGACAACCCATGGTAGCCGCAAAGAGTGAGACTGTGCAACGCTGCCGGCCTTGCCGCTAACCAGGATGAGATTATGCAGGACTGCCGGCCTTGCCGCCGGGCTGTGTCCCTGAGGCAAATGCCTCGCGACATGCTTGCAGAATCTGTGGATGCACGAAAGCTGGAACTGAAGCTGGCCAGCCTCTGATAGGAGATAACTATGGTAGCCAGGTGCGAGTGTGCAGGACTGCCGGCCTGGCCGCCAGGCTGTGTCATTGAGGCGAATGCCTCGCGACGTGCGTTCATAAACTGTGGACGCACGAAAGCTGGCCCTGACGCTGGCCATCGACGATTAATAGAAGACAACCCGTGGTAGCCGCAAAAAGTGAGACTGCGCAGGACAGCCGGCCTTGCCGCCGGGCTGTGTCCTTGAGGCCTCTGCCGCGCGACATACTTGCAACAAATGCGAATGCGCGAAAACTGGCAATGAACGTTGGTAGGAGACAAACCATGCAAGCCGGACAACATGGGATTATGCAGGACTGCCGGCTTGCCGCTGGGCTGTGTCCTTGAGGCGAATGCCTCGCGACATGCTTGCGTAAACAGTGGAAGCACGTAGGCTGAAACTGAAACTGGCCGGCGCCAGATAGGAGATAACCACGGCAACAAAGTGCACTTGAGCAGGACTGCCGGCCTTGACGCCGGGCTGTGTCCTTGAGGCGAATGCCTCGCGACGTGCGTTCATAAACTGTGGGCGCACGGAAGCTGGCCCTGACGCTGGCCAGCGCCGAATGGGAGACAAGCCGTGGTAGCCACAAAGAGTGAGCCTGCGCAGGACTGCTGGCCTTGCCGCCAGTCTGTGTCCTTGAGGCGAATGCCTCGCGACATGCATGCATTATCTGCGAATGCACAAACAACTGACAATGAAATGAAACAGAGACAACCATGGTAGCCGCGCAGAAAGATATTGTGCAGGACTGCCGGCCATGCCGCCGGGCTGTGTCCTTGAAGCGAATGCCTCGCGACAAGTGTGCAACGCCGCGGTGCGCGACAGCTTGCACGGCCGCTGGCCACCGTCTGCAAGGAGGCAAACCATGGTAAGCGGAGAGGGTGAGATTGTGCAGGACCGCTGGCTTGCCGCCGGGCTGTGTCCTTGAGGCGAATGCCTCGCGACGTGCGTGCATAATCTGCGGATGCGCGAAGCCTGGCTCTGCCGCTGGCCTTCGCCTGCGTACGGGGAGCCATGCGTAGCATATGCCCGCGTGTGCCTTCTGATTTAGATTGTGCAAAACCGCCGGCTTGCCGCCGGGCTGTGTCCTTGAGGCGAATGCCTCGCGACGTGCGTGCGTAATCAGTGGATGCGCGAAACGTGGCACTGCCGCTGGCCTTCGCCTGCGCACGGGGGGCCATGCGTAGCATATGTCCGCGTGTGCCTTCTGACAACATTGAGGTACCGTAAGTACCTCTTATGCCGGTGTCGCCCTGGCTTCCTAACCCCAGGGGACATTGTGCAGGTGCTCGTCGGGCGTGCGCCTTGCGCACGCCCTTACCGGCGCCCCATGCGTCCTGCACAACGACCGCCCCCCGGGGCTGCGGAAGCCATCGGCATGGGGAGGAGGAGGAGGAGGAGGAGGAGGAGGAGGAGGAGGACCACCTCCCCCTCCAACTTATGATGGTGGTGGTGGTGGAAAAAAAGCCCATCAACAGAGACGTGTCCTGGACCCTGGGGCCTTCCCCCGGGACCGGGTCTTCGTCCTGAATCATTGTTTGCCTGTCCCGGGCCCCAGGAGGACCAGAACATTGAAAAACCTCAGGACCAATTTCTGTCGGGACGGTCTTGGGCGGCACGAGACCAAACAGCGTGCCAGACAGGGGCCTCAGCTGACTGCCGCCCCGCGCAGCCCCAAACACAGAGCACCATGCTCATCAGCATCATTGCCACGATCATCTACTTCCTCCTCCTACTCTTCATCCCCCCTCGTCCTGCTCTTGCCACTCCTCCTCCTCCTCCTCCTCCTCCTCCTCCTTTTCCTCCTTCCTCCTCCATTCGTGGCGACCTCCGGCCGCGCATGTCCGCCAGCAGGCCCGCCGCGAGGTCCCACCTGCCCGCCTTGTGCCCGGCCGTGATGCAGGTGCTGAAGCTGACCGCGTCCGCGCGGAGCCGCCGGCGGGGCATGTCCCGCAGCAGGAGCACCGCCGCCGACCACTCCGCCGCCCGCGAGCACGCGCCCAGCGCCGTGTTGCACGTGATCCCGCTACGCGAAGGAGTGGCCCTGGGCACGAGCGACCTCTGGTACAACAAGGCCGGGGACGGGGCCACAGTCGGATCGGGACGCATCGGGAATCTCTGCTGTCTGCTGTCTGGCGGTGGAGGATGTATCGGGCGGGGTGGTCGTTCAAGAGCGTTCTGGAACATGCCAGAACGATCCATCCTGATCATGTAGTCGGACCTAGGCCACAAGAACACCCCTCAATAACGTAAAATTAGGTCGGGCGTGTCCTCCTACAGGGGGATTGTGGACGAAATGTAAAAAGTAGTCTAAAACATCGCAACTAGTCCAAACTTCGCCCCCTTTTTACTATTTTTCAAAATTCCTCCTGTAGAAGGGACAGGCCCGACTTAAACATAAGACCCTCCGCCCTCCAAAACACAAAGAAGGTCCAAGGTTACCCTCCCCAGGGTGCGCAAGAACGTCCAACGAACACGAAGAACACGAATTAGGGTACCCTCCCCGAATCGACCTCGATCTTATTCGACGGCAGGCCTTCTCAGAAAGCTCGGAAGTCCCCTGGCCTTCTGAGATTTTGCCCTAAGCCCCCCCGGAAGAAGGAACAGAACTTCTCAGAAGGCGCGAGGGCTTCCGAGGAGCCCCGCCGCCTTTTCAGAAGGCCTTCTCCTCCAGATGTATCCCCCCTTCTCCTCCTCCTCCTCCTCCTCCTTCTCCTCCTCCTCCTCCTCCTCCTCCATCTCCTCCTCCTCCTCCTCCTCCTCCTCCTCCTCCTCCTCCTCCTCCTCCTCCTCCTCCTCTCTCCCCCTCCTCCTCCTCCTCCTCCTCCTCCTCCTCCTCCTCCTCCTCCTCCTCCTCCTACGTCAGCCAGGAAACAGAAAAGTGCCTTCTCCTTCTCATTAACCCCCCCTCGCTCGCAGCCGACTTTGGCTCTAGTCTTGGGTCATAACTGGGGTCTCCAGCGGCCGTTCGGGACGATCCGGCACCCGTGGAACGCCCTCGCCGAGGCGCAGCCGCTGGAACGCGTCCCGAGGCTGGAAAACAGCCGAGAACCGACGAAAACGCCCAGAAACCTCGAGCCTCGAACCCGAGAATTGCCCCCCTCGCTCGCCGCCGACTTCTACCTCGGCCCGGCTCTCTCCCGATCCCTACGCTCGACTGCTGTGGTGGGCAGGCCTGCGCGACAGGGGCACCCCGCGTGTTCGGGTCTGGCCCTCCAGAGGCCCCTCGAAGGAAGCGCCCCAGGAGGCCACTGCAGCAAAGGGCCGCCCATCCTCCTCCCCCTCCTCCTCCTCCTCCTCCTCCTTCTCCTCCTCCTCCTCCTCCTCCTCCTTCCTCCTCCTCCTCCTCCTCCTCCTCCTCCTCCTCCTCCTCCTCCTCCTCCCTCCTCCGACCTCCTGGTCTCCTCCTCCTCCTCCTCCTCCGCTACCCATCCTTCCCTCCTCCTCCTCCCTCCTCCATCCTCCCTCCTCCCTCCGCCCGCCTCCCTCCCGCCCTTCCGCCCTCCCTTCCCTTCCCCTCCCCCCTCCTCCCTCCTCGTCCCTCCTCCCCTCCCCCTCGACCGCTCCCTCGGACCTCCTCCTCCTGGTTCCCAGCCGTCCCTGCACCTCCTCCTCCTCCTCCTCCCTCCTCCTCATCCTTCCACCTCTCCTCCTCCTCCTCCTCCTCCCTCCTCCCGCCTCCTCCTCCTCCGCCGCCTCACCTCCGCCGCCCCCTCCGCCACCTTCTCCTCCTCAGCCGCCCCGCGCTTCCCGCCGCCCCCTCTCCTCCGCCCTCGCTTCGTTTCTTCCGCCGCTCCATTCATTGCCCGCCCTCCGCCTCCTCCTCCCCCGCCTCCTCCTCCTCCTCCGCCTCCGCCGCCTCCTCCTCCTCCTCCTCCTGCCTCCTCCTCACGCCTCCACCTCTACCTCCTCCCTCCTCCCACCTCCTCCGCACCTCCATCCACCCCTGCTGTCGTCCTCGCGTCCGCCGCCTCCTCCTCCTCCTTCCTTCCGTCCTTCCTTCCGTCCGTCCTTCCTTCCTTCCGTCCTTCCTTTCTCCTCCTGCTGCCCCACCTACCTCCCCTTCCTCATCCTCGTCCTCGTCCTCCGCCTCCTCTTCCTCCTCCTCCCTCCTCCTTCTCCTCCTTCTCCTCCATCAGCATCAGCATCAGCATCAGCATCAGCATCAGCATCAGCATCATCATTATCATCATCAACATCATCAGCATCAGCATCAGCATCAGCATCATCAGCATGA